ATTTGCTTTGAGATATAATATCGAATAGCTTTTTTTGTTCAGAATTAGAATATGAAGAAATTAGAAAATTAAATGTTTGAAAACACTGTGCCGAGTATATAAAAATGTTTTAGAAACAAGTTTCCAAATAAATATAATTTGTTTGGTACTAAATTTCTGAATAAATTTTGTAAATCCATCCACCCAAAACAATGAAGATGAATTGAAAATCTACATTCTCTAAAGAAAAAAAAAAGAAAAAGAAAAAGAAAGCTTGAAAAAGTCTTTTTCATTGTCCATTGTTGACTTCAATGTGAAATAAAATGCAAGAATGATGGATTCAAGGGAATAATGTTGGGTATGAAGAGTAGAGTGTGAAGACATAAAATGAAGTGAGAAGAGAATAGAGAATGAACGATTGAGATTGATTATGAGATGAAGTGTTCAAAACACTATGATTTACACTTTTTTCAATATCAAGTACTTTTTGATCATTTTGAATACGGATATAATGGTAATAAAAAATTCATTTAATTGGAGTGTCCAACTAATCTTTTGGCTTGCAAATCGAGTCATTCATAAATTCTTTTAATGTTGATCCTAAATAGGAAAAATTATGTGGTGTTCTTGGGGCAAATTCACATAGTGCCCCAACTTGTTATTGATTAGTTAAAGTTGTAAGACTTCGTACTTTTTGAGTGGTGATACATCCCCCTAATATATCACCCCTATTTTGATCTTTAATGAGGGGAGAGAGAGAGAGAGAGAGAGGGAGAGAGGGAGAGAGAGAAGAAGAAGAAGAATGATGAGAAGTGAAGAGTGGGGTCCATTCCACATCATTAGGATTGGATTAGGGGTGTTCAATTAGAACTCCTAAGCATTTTCTGTACTTTTTATTAGGATTGTAAGTGATAAGTGGTATGGAGTAATACCAAGACCACCAAATAATCACTCCCTAAATAGGAGTAAGTATGATTTAATTTAGTTTGATTTTGAAGCAAATCAAGAATAAATTATTACCTATGAAATTTGAAACCAAATCCAACCATAAGAATCTTGGAATTGAACCATGAAAGTGTGGTTTAGTTTGGATTAAAACCATGATATTTATAAACCTTGTCATTATTCATAATATGATCATAACATACTCAAATATCAAATAATATGTTATCATTTTACAAACAATAATTATTTAAAACTGGTTTTGTTATTATATAAGAGCACACTTGCAAGATAAGATGGCTAATAACTTATGAATATATATAAGCTTAGGCTTTTTTCTAGTTCGAAATTGGGCTGGAGCATGTTGTTGGACATTTGTTGGTCCACCATGGAGCCCACATCGATAATTTGAACCGTTCATTGTACAAGACACATCAAATACTTCATCCCTACAAAAATTGCATTGATCGAATATCGATAGCTACTTGATTTACTCAAATTTCTGTCAATGGTTACGATTTTAAAAATAAATTGTTGAGAAAAATGTGATCTGATCAAGTGGTTCGATATCTGATCAACGTGATTTTTTTTTAACAGAAATGAAATACTTAACGAGCCTTACACATTGAATAGTTTAGATCATCAAGACGAATCCAAAATAGACCGGACTGGACCGTCCAATTAGAATAACCAACTCGAGAGATTCTAGTCCCCCCCACACACACAAATATATACATGCATATATATATATATATATATATATATATATATATATGATACTAATACGAGCGTCTATAATAAATAACAAATTATATAATATATATCTATATATTTGCATATCTAAATGGTCCGATTCAATTCTAAACCAAAACTATAACTATAAAATCACGTATTGAACCATGAAATACGGTTCACCTATTTTCAGAACTAAGATCGAACAATGTATTGAGAAAATCAAATCAAATCGTGCAATTTGATCAGAATTGGATTGGTTTATGATTTTTAATTTTTTTTTCTTAGTCCTAATCCTAAAGATGGCCTTTAAGAATCAAAAAATGACAATATATTCTTAATATTAATACAATTTAAACATATCCTGAAATAATTAAATATATATTTTTTACACATTTAAACAAACTTGTTAAAATCGTTTTCTAGTTCATCACCTGCAAAAAATTAAGTTCATCAAACTCGTTAGCAGCTCGTCAAAATTAATGATTGCTACAGTGTCTCGCTACAGCAAGCGAGGTACTGTTCATCACTAGATTCGTGTTACCAGATATCCGCTTAGAAGTCCGGTCGATCAATTAGTCATTTTTTATTTTTTTATTTTTTATTTTTTTTTTACACAAGACAGCGTTAAAAAATAAAAAAAATTCTAACATAATTTTTTGAAAAAAAAATACTAAAAGCTAAAATATTAACAAAATAAATAATAAATAATAGGGATAATTGCATCAATGATCCTCCTAATTTCTTCAAAGTTTCAATTTAGTCCTTGTACGTTGATTTTTGTCAATTTTGGTCCTTACACTTCCTATCTAGTTCCACTTTGATCTTTTTTGCTATTGACCCTAAGATTTTAGTTATTATATTCTTGCCTCTTTCAAGTTTTGTTATATTAAGAAAATATCTTTTTATTTTATTTTATATTTTATCACACAATATTTATTTTGCGTTTCTCTGGTGATATTAATTCAAAAGGTTCATTTGGAGAGTTCCACCTGTAAGTTGTAAGGACAAATATAATTATTTGTGGTGTTTTCTTACTTATTTTCTACAATAGCTAATTACTTACATTTATCTAATAGTAGATGTTGAATTTCATATATAATTTCTAATTGATTTTGTTAAGATTTTTCTTAAGTTCTTTTAATAACCTGATTATTGTATTATTTTACGCAATTATTATTTGTAGTGAAATACTATTATTTAAATTATTTGATTTTTTTTTCCAGTATATCGAATGCTCATATATTTATATTGACAAAACTGAAAAAATAGACTTTGATACTAATTCTAAACACACGTAATTTTACAAAACATTTATATTTTGTAGAGATTATATAATTATGCTAATAAGAAAATAGGGTCTTATAGTAATTAATAGAACTTCTGGGTTTATAATTTATTTCTATATTTCCTTGAAGGACTAAATTGATTTGGAACTAAGCCCTCCTTTGCGATGCAACTTATTGGCTAAAATAGCAAATAAGATAAGATATTATATTTAAACAATAATCATTTTATTTTTTGCTCTCACAATTATGAAATCAACTAAAAAAAACTAAAAATAATAAAAAACACAACTTTTTTTTATTTTTATTTTTAACTAAGTTAATAATCCAATAGCCAAAAAATAAAACTAAAAAAACTTAGGGGTTGTTTGGAGTGTCCTAAATAAGTGTACTTTTTGTCTTTTTGAACTAAAAAATTGATGAAGAAAATATAGATGTTTGGGTTAACTTTTTGACTTTTTATGGAAAAATGTGTAATAAAAAATTGTAAAAATTGGTTTGTAGGAGAAAATTAGAATTAGGAGTTGTGCAGCCGTAATTGTTGAGTTTTGGTGAATAGTGTTAACTTTTTAACTTTTTGAGTAATTTTTTGACTTTTGCTGGACATGCCAAACTTGGCCTTATTCAAAACGAAGGCTGACACAATTAGAATTACATGACTAAAATGAATAAGATGGACTATAACTATAATTCAATTTGGCCTATTTTAGGAAGTATGTTAAAAGTTAGTTTTTAAATTTTTTTTTTTTTGAAAAAACGTATAAAAAAATAAAGAGATGATGCGACAAAAGAAAAAAACAAAACTCAAAAAACCAATAAGTTGATTTTTAACCTACATGCAAAAAGGGGAAATTTATCCATAAATCTCATATAGGAGAATGTTGATCCATTTAGTCCTAAGAGTTTTCTTTTAAATTATTTAGTCATTTTTATTTTGAAAAGTTATATTTATTTGATTTGGTGCCGTTTGAATTTAAGTGAATACCCTTTTGTGATCATTTTTTCAATTTTTTGATTCTTTTTTGGGATGATAATGGAATAGTGTGGTGTGGAATATTTTTTTTTTTTGGGAGATTGGTGACTGAAGTGTTGGTTGTCGGACGTGAAAATCTACATTTATATTAGTGTAGTTTTCTGGTATTACATTGAAGTGTTACATTAGAGTATTATGCTAGAAAAACTACACTAAGGAGTTTTTGTGTGTGATATTGATTGGAGTGTTACGCTTGAAAAAAATTTACTAAGAATTTTTTTTGAAATGTTACGTTGTACGTTTAAGAAAAGTACTGTAATAACTTTTGTGTGCTATATTGATTAGAGTATTATATTTGGGAAAAATACACTAAAGAACTTTTTTGAAATGTTACGCTATTATGTTTCAGAAAAGTACACTAATAAAATATTTAGTATGTTATATTAGAGTATTATGTTTTTTGAGTGTTACATTTGTAAAAAATACACTAAGAAATTTTTGTATGTTACATTGATTGGAGTGCTACGTTTGAGAAAAATGCACTAAAGAATTTTTTTAGCGTGTTACGTTAAAGTGTTATATATTTTAAGTATTATATTGGAGTATTATATTTGAGAAAAATATACTACGGAGTTTTTTTTAAAATGTTATGTTTAGTAATTTCAACATTATGAAAAAATCCACATTTATCCCTTAATACAAAACACACACATTTATATTTGGCCTTTTATATAATTCATACTAGAATGAGATATTTGGATTTATAAAGAAAAAAAAAAGGACAAAATAGTTAGTAAGATTATTATTTAAAATTTATTGGTATTCGACCAAATAACATTTTTTAATGAGTAATGCAAGAGATCTCAAAATTTCTATTAAAATTTTTACCAAATATCTCACATAAATACGAAATCTCTACAATATAGATCTCATATGGATCCCACAAATTTTAGGCTGTCTAACATTTTTATTTTTTAATTGTATGGCAAACGTATTGCCTCAACACCACTAAACAACTTCTCGTCAAACACAGCGCGAGAGTGCGTGACCATTCCTCACGGGTCCACTATTAACGCACTCTGTCTCTTTGCCAGCCATTTTCCCTTCCTTCTTTACTTACTCCCTCTCTCTCTCTCCCTCCTCAGTCGTTCGTACCCAAATCTAGAACTGAAATCAAACACACTTTCTCTTTTTCTCTGTTTCTGCCAATGGATTCCTCAGATGACGAAGGAGAAGAGTACCTCTTCAAAGTAGTCATAATCGGAGACTCAGCAGTGGGCAAGTCCAATCTCTTGTCAAGGTACGCTCGAAACGAGTTCAACATGCACTCCAAGGCCACGATCGGAGTGGAGTTCCAGACTCAGAGCATGGACATCGACGGCAAGGAAGTCAAGGCCCAGATTTGGGACACCGCCGGCCAAGAACGCTTCCGTGCCGTCACCTCCGCCTACTACCGCGGCGCTGTCGGCGCCCTCATCGTGTACGACATCACCCGCCGCACCACCTTCGACAGCGTCGGCCGCTGGCTCGATGAGCTCAAAAGTAAGTCCTGCTTTTTACATAAATTCGACTCTTTCTTAATTTTTGTTTTTGTTTTTGATTGATGAGGAAATGAAATGTGGGGAAAAGGAAAGAATTGGAAATGGAATTTGGGTTTTTTATTTTTTATGTTTGATTTGGGTTGAATCATCAAACCCAAAATTCAAAATTTTTAATTAGTTAAGATGTAGTGATCCATAACTTGAGTGAGAAGCCAAGCATGGAATGATGTTTAAGTATTGTCTATGATTTGATAGGATTGGTATTCTTAATTTGAATTTTTTCCTTTAATGCTTGTCCTATTCTTTAGTTGTTTTGTAATGGTATGGTTGGAGTTTTTTTAAAATGTATTGACATATTCGTCATAAAAGTACTCCTAATTTAAAATATATGAATAAGTTCTATCGGGCTCACTTACATCACATCAAGTTTAAATCTACGCTGTACGTTCAAATTTGGGCACTATTTTTGGATATTTTTGATGATTTCGTAGCAATTTATCTTTGTGCTTGGATTTCTTGTTTATTTGGTTGATATAAGATAGTTTTAAGATGTTTTGGGTAAGTAGATCTGGCATGGATGCCAAAGAACTGTTTAGTGTTGCTGTGGCAAAAGCCACTTTTGCTTTTGCAATAGAGCAAATATGGCTGGCCCCAATAGAAAGGGTAAAATGAAAATCCAAAAAAGTATGCTGGTATGATTGCTATTCTTTCACCTTTTCTTGAAAGTTTGTCGGGCTAAAAGTACTTTTGGAGGGGGAGATGATTTTCAGTGGCTACTTTTTGAACCCAAATTTTGCTTCATTCAAAACCTGTTCTCATTTTTTTAGTGAGTTATATTATATGGATCACTAGTAAATGATATATATGGTTATTAGTATAGAAAATGGGCTTGCCTTTTCTTTTTTATTTGGGTATGCCGCTCGGCAAGCAAGGAGCCAGGGAACCAAGTGGGCTGTGGTGATGTCAGAATTTGCACCTGTTTGTATCTATTTAGTGATCAGTTCACCTTCTCTTTTCTTCCAAGCAACTCCAAGTAATGTTTCCACATCCGACATCTTCCAGTCTGGGTTACCCATCTCCTTGGAGGGTGGGATATTTGTTTTGTTTTATTTTATTTTTGATGTTTTGTACATATTGCTTTCTCCAAACCTTGCTTTAGAGGGAGTCTTGAGCATTAGGTCACCTTTTTTATTTTTTTTTTTGTGTGGATGTTTGTAATTTTGTAACTTGAAACAATATGATTGATTTCCTACATACCCTAGACTTTCTGTGGACAGTATTTACTTCTCTAACCATTACTTTAGAGAGAACCTATCAAAGTTCATAATGTCCTTGCAACCCATTTGCCAATATTGCTCTCAATTATGTAACAACTTGAAAGCAAAAATTGTTTTCATCATAGTTGTCAAATTGAGATACCTATCATGTATTGTTTTTCTTTGCTTCTAAATTATGTATTGTAAGATTTTTTATACATATTTAAATGTAGGTAGAAAAATCAATATAAATGTAAAAAAAATCTTGAGAAAACAAAACACTAAACAATATATAATCATTAAAATTAAAAAAGTATGGCTACTTAAATTAAAGATATGCATGCATCAATACTTAATGTATATAAAAAGCAGAGCATAGTTAAAATATTTATGACAAAATATATAAACACTTGACTATGTTATTACCTTCAAAATTTTCTCATTCTTAATATAATTGTGTATTATGTTCTCATATCGTCTTTACTCACCATCTAAGTTTTAATATTTACTTTACAACTTTTGTTATCAAATTGCTTGTCTGTAGTAGAAAGTTTAATACTTTAACCGATGTACATAGGCAAAAATCAATGGCATAAGATACTTAATACCATCCAAGTAGATATTTGTCAAAAAAGTAGACAAAAATTAATACCATCCAAGTAGATATTTGTCAAAAAAGTAGACAAAAATAAAAGAAAAAAAAATCCCTTCTCATCTAAAAAATATTATATTTTAATAAGATATTATTGAAAAATTTTGACAATATTAATTTACATAAAATAAGTTATTATTATTATTTTTTTTTTCCAAACTGCTAAAGAAATGTAGTATTCATGTATCGTTTGTATGGCTTCGTGTTTCTTGTATTGTATATTGCATCATGTATTATATATGTATCATACAATACATTTAACTTAATATATGTATTAATGATATGTATCTATTTGTCTATAAACTTATTGAATCATATGATATGTATTGTTAATAATAAGCTATGAAACATTGGTCTTCGACAAATATATCATATCCATACCAAACATTGGTACTTTTCATGGTATTTCTGCATATGTTAACACATGTAATTTTTTTTTCTTAATTTTTGTTGTACCCCAGAGATACTGGTATATACCCAAGCCATACCTAAGTGGGTATAGTATTTTTTTTCAATGAAAGGATGAACTTTGTTTTATTTGATTTGAATTTTTTTTTTTTTCATGTATATCATGGTTTTAAAATTAAGTTTATTTTTGTAAGTTATTTAATATGATGACATTTAATTTTGTTTATACATTAGTTTTGGTATTAAATGTGAATTGTAGGTTGTATCTTAACAAACTAAACCATTTAACTAGTTATTGCATTACTACAAATTTATAAAGCATGGACACTCCAAAATCGGTGCCGTGGCAGTGTTCGACACGTGGACACGCTGGGGACACGCCGGGAACACGTACGGGCTGATTTTTTTGTAAGGGACACGACGGGGACACATGTGTCCATATCCGGACATGGAGGGGCTCACTTTTTTTTTTTTTTTTTCCTTTTTCTTCTTTTGCCTCTCTTATTTAGTGCTTTTGTGAAGAATATTGTTGGATATTGAATGTTTTCCCCTTCTCGTCTTAGTTCTTGCTATCGTTTATTATGATTTTTTTGTGAATGGATGATCTATTAATTTGTTTAAATGTAGTAGTTATATTTATTGAATTAATGTTACTATGTTAGTGTTTGTTAATTTTGATTTAGGATGAATGTAATATGAATCTATATAACACATAAAAGTATATATAAAAAAAAAAATTCGCCGTGTCCTCCACTGTTTTGCCTCTCTTATTTAGTGCTTTTGTGAAGAATATTGTTGGATATTGAATGTTTTTCCCTTCTCGTCTTAGTTCTTGTTATCGTTTATTATGATTTTTTTGTGAATGGATGATCTATTAATTTGTGTAAATGTAGTGGTTATATTTATTGAATTAATGTTACTATGTTAGTGTTTGTTAATTTTGATTTAGGATGAATGTAATATGAATCTATATAACACATAAAAGTATATATAAAAAAAAAAATTCGCCGTGTCCTCCACTGTGTCTCGTGTCTCGTGTCCCGTGTCGGTGTCGGTGTCCATGCTTCATAGCTACAAATTAAAAATAAATATTTTGTTACGAATGTACCTAGTCATACCTGTACCTCACTTTTTTAAATTTTCCCGCATCGACGTACTTGTACGGTACTAGTCTATGAAGCACGGACACATCTCTGAAGGTAACGTATGGGTGTCAGACATGGATATACGTCGGACACGCGATGGACATGTGTCCCCTTTGTTTTTTTAATTTTTTGTAGCCGGACACTCTTGGACACGTTATGGACACGTTGAGAACTGAGAGAAATCCTAACCTAGGAGACAGAGAGAGAAACACTAACCCATTGAAGGCAGAGAGAGAAACTTGTTGAAGCCCTAGATCGAGGCTAGATCGAGGTATGTTCGTCCAATCTGTGTGTGTTCGACTCTCTTTCTCCCTTTGGTCGGTGCTCTCTGTTTTCATCTTCTGAGACTCTTTCTCTCCCTCTATTCGGTGCTCTCTATTCTTCGTTTCTTTCGTCTCTCTCTCTCTCTCTCTATTCGTTTCTCTTGTTCGACACTCTGTCTCCTTTTTTGTTCGACTCTCTCTTTCCTATTCGTGTTACCATCTCTCTCCCTCTTTTATTCTTTATTATTTCTTCTTTTTTTTTCCTACCTTTTTTGTTTTTAGTAATAAAAAAACCTTTTTTTCCCCCTCTTTTACTTTTTTCTGTTTTTTTTTAAATATTCTTGTTTGCTAAACATTAACATATAGAATAAATTATTTTTATTTGTAGAAAAAAAAAAAAATTTGGGAATGATATTTGATATTAAAGTAAATAAATAAATAAATATATATGTTTTAATTTTACATATAATAAATAAAAAAATTATATATATTGAGCGTGTCCCAACGTGTTGTGTCTCCCATTTTTGTAAACTCATCACTATTTTTTACACTCATTATTACATTTCGTAAAATATTAGAAAATTCTGCGGGATGCATAACAACTGATTCTCTCCGATCAACTTCGTCTTTTCTAGCAGCACCAACCTCTGAAATCGACGGACCAGGATCAACATCACTAGCACCATCACCATCTCTGTGTACATCAATCTCATACAAACTCAGATGACCTCTGTATTCATGAATAACTGAATCACTTTTCCCGAATCTCCTAACAAGAAATTTCCTAACAAAAAATCTTTTCGCCTTTTCGATAAACTCACAGACATAGTCCGTGTCAAAATTGGAGTAGCCTTGGTTGGAGCACAATGCTAAACATCAACATTATCATTAGTATACTTTTTAGATAACACAGCAATAGATGGAGCCCTTATCTGCGAATCTTCTGATATTTTACTCGTAGAATACTTCAAATACCCATTCATTTTGCAATAAGTAATACCCCTTTTAATGTTCGAATTTTCAATTTGATACTTCACCATTCATGGCACTTGTTTGTCGTTAATAGAACAATAACTATTCCCATAATAAACTAATTCGCACTGGTAGTCCACGGGGAAAATAAAGTACGCCTGCAAACTGTCATTACCATCTAACCTCCTATCATACACATTTACTCTGACCAACTCACTGGCGTTGGGTGCGCAAAGGGAGGAATATTTTACCAATATTTTATCAACCTTAATACTCTTTTGTTTGTATCTCAACCTGAACTAAGA